GAGACTCGGAGAATTCTGAACCGTTCCGAAAATCGAACCGAAATCACTCCGAACCGAAAAATAACCGTTGACCATTTGACTTTCTCTGAACCGAACCGAACCGAAAAAATAATTGGTACGGTTCTGGAGATTTCACAAATATCCGAACCGAATCGAACCGTACCGTACTGTACCGAACCGAAGAACCGAAATTAAGAACCGAATTATAACATTAAATTTGTTACTAATATAGTTTATGTCAACTTTGATTCTATATAATATAGTAATAAATATTAACATTCATTTAAATTTCATTCTTAGTAATACTTGATCTACAATTGAATTTTTTCTATTATAAAATAATAAGAAAGTTTTACAAATATTTTTCTAACAAAAAAATATTATATTTTATTTGAATTTTAAATTTTCAATATTAGTTGCACAAATTTTAGTTATAACTAAAATTTGGAGTTACTTATAAAGTTGCTTTCAAAATAAAATTTTAATGTGAGGAAGTAGTGATGAATGTTGGTTTTATTAAAGCATATAAAAATTAAAATAACTAAAATTTAGAGTTACTTCTAGAATTGATTTCAAAAAAAAATCTTCAATATGATGAATTATTGATGAATGTTGTTTTTTTAAAGCATATAAAAATTGAAATATAACTAGGTAGTCATTCAAAAATAATTAAAAAAAATCTCCGAAGATCCGAACCAAACCATACCGAACCGAACCGTCCCAATTGTCCCGAATACCGAACCGGACCGAACCGAAAAATAAAAATGTTCGAACCGAACCGAACCGAATTTCTGGTACAGTTTCGGAGATCGAATTTTGGGATCTCCGAACCGTATCGACCCACGCTCACCCCTATTAGCCCCCCACCCTCCGGGGTGTTGTTGACTTTTTTTAAAAAACAAATCAGTATGTTAATCTTAATTTGGGGTTGATATGTAATAATGTATTTGGAATTTGGGTTTATGTTAGAATGTTTCTCAAAAAAAAAAAAAAAAAAAAATTACATAAAAAGGCAAAATTACATATTAATACATCACTTTTTTTTTTGTAATTTAATCACCACCTTGTTAATTTAGCAATTTAATACACCACTTTCACTATTTTTTGCAATTCGAATCACAGGGCCAATTCGGGCTTTTTTTGCTGACATGGCGTTGACGTGACATTTTCATAATGACATGTCGTTCCACGTGTCAATTACATGATATTTTTTTGATGACATAACATTCCACGTGTCAATTAGATAAAGACGTGACATTTTTATACCGACATGTCCTTCCACGTGTTAATGACATGATATTTTTCTGCTGACATGACATTCCACGTGTCAATTAGAAATAAAAATATTATGCAGCCCATGAAATTCAAACCAGAGACATGATGATTATATGGTAGTTGTGCCTCCACCACACCAATCCTGGTTACTTGACAAATTTAATAGCGTTGTATATATATAGAGTTGCGTATGAATAAATCAAATTGAATTTAAAAGATAATGTACTAAATTAATAAAATATAAATTATAATAAATTAAATTGTATGAAGTTAAATGAAAATAAATAATTAAAATAAATTAAGATAAAACATGTTATAGTAGAATGAATTTAAATTAATTTAAATTTAAATATATTTATATTTTTTTATTTATTAAGTTAATTATATAAATTTTGAAATAAAAGATAATAATGATAAAAATAAATAAAAAATAAAGTAAGTCAAAGTACATTAGTTAAAATATAATAAAAATAATATAATATAAGATAATAAAGTATTGAAAAGGTAAGGTAAAATAAAATAAAAAAAGAATAAATATAATTTTTTTCCATGGTATATAATTATTTAACAAACAATAAATATATTTAAATTTAAATTAATTTAAATTAATTCTACTATAACATGTTTTGTCTTAATTTATTCTAATTATTTTATTTTCATTTAACTTTATGTAATTTAATTTATTATAATTTTATATTCTATTAGTTTAATACATTATCTTTTAAATTTAATATGATTTTTTCATAAGCAACTCTATATATATAAAACGATATTAGATTTATCAAGTAATTAGGATTGGTGTGGTGGTAGCACTATTACCATATAACCTTCATGTATAATCTTATGGACAACATAATTTTTTTTATTTTTTTTTTATTTCTAAATGACACGTGGAATGCCATGTCAGCAGAAAAATGTCATGTCATTGACACGTAGAACGACATGTCAGCGAAAAAATGCCAACATCAACCTCATGTCAGCACAAAAAAAAGCCCGAATTGGCCCTGTGATTCCAATTTCGAAAAATAGTAAAAGTGGTGTTTTAAATTGCTAAATTACAATTGTGGTGATTAAATTGCAAAAACATGAAAAGTAGTGTATTAATATGCAATTTTGCCTAAAAAAACATTATTAGTGGAATAAATAAAAAGAAAGAGAAAACGTAGGTGGATTATATAGAGTTACCGGAATGGATTGAAGAACTTTGGATACTGCAGGAGATGCGGCCTTCCCTTCAACAAAAATGAAGAAAGTTGAAACGCCAATAACCTTGTGATAATAAATCCATTCCAAAATCTGCTCCAACCTTGCAGATGTAGTTGTTGTAATACATATCTGCGCATATATATTGAATCACAAATTAACTAATAATTAACCAACATTCTCTCAACCTTATTATATTATATCAAATACGGAAACTTTGCAGACTGATGTTTGGACACAAATGGATAGTAAACAAATGTCAAGATTTAAGATTAAAATTGTGTTTACTGCATCTCAAAATGTTCACAATAAACTGGAATGTTCAAGTATTT